AGAACAGTTACAAAGCCTGATTAGGCAAGTAATTAGCAGTTGAGCGATATTTTTGGCTAAAAAAATTAGATTAGTGACCAAAAACGTTAATAATTTAGTGACATTCGGCGTCATTTACTTCTCTCTATAGTCTGTATGTTCAATGCAAAAGTGAAGGAACCGGTTTCTTGTATATGTGCTTTTCATTTATTGGTGAATTCTTAAGCATGTAAATACAGAAGAAGAGAGGCAATGCTTTAAATTTGAAGTAGGTGATGGAAACAACACTCATAGTTTACTTTTTTTTTTTTTTTTTTGGGTAATAAACGAAATTCCATTAAAATAACATACTAGGATAATTTACTGATAACACCTTTCTTCTGAATATGACGCTTTTTCACAGCACCAAGGCATATGAAGAAGAAGCAGACGATAATTTACTGATCTTTGCTTGGGTTGCTCTGCTAGGATAATTTGGTCGATTGAAGCCTTCCGACCTAGATTACCAACGTATATTTCTGAATGGGGAAGCCATTCTTAAGTGCTAGAGAGCAAGAAAGCGTGGTCTTTTCACTACGCCTTTGTTGTCAAGGGGTGGTGGGACGATTAGGCCTTCTGAGTTTGTTATGAGCAAATTGGGACGACTTAGAGAAGGCAACCCTTCGGCCCAAGTTCGCTCCTTCTGGGCTTAAAGCCCTCAATCAGCCGACTGATCACAAGAAACTTAGCGTAAAAGGTTGCAAAATCTAATTAGTTTGGCTTGTAAAAAGTTGGCTTTAGCTTTTAGCAAATTGACATAACTATAACTAATTGGCTTTTGGAACCCCTGTTCACTAGTTTCTGCTCTTGTGACTTCGATCCCATTTATTCTTATTTTCACAAAATTCCTCAAAAACAACAAAAAAAGGAATTCACAAAATGAACGGTGATTATTTTATATCTTTGAGCTCCCACACAATCCAAGCAATGAAGAGGAAGTACCAAGATTATACTCAACCCAATTGCCATACATCAGTGGCAGGAAACGAGCAAAGATACCGCTCACCCTCTGTATCTTAAATTACCACTTACTTAATTTAAAATCCTGGAAGGAGCTTGCGTTCCGTAATCATAAGGTCTTAGGTTTAATATTCATGGAAATGGAAAGGATAATGTTGGGAGAGCTTTTTCCTACAAAGGGCCTAACCTGATTGGAATAGGATCAATCGCAAAACGTAAAACGGACGCGAATAGCTGTGGTTTATACCAAAATGGTAATGACAAATATAGGTATCTTCCCTGAGATGTACGCAGCAACGCTCAGATGAATGAAGCCTACTTAATAAAACGGCGAATGGGTCAAGTTCTATTTTGAATTGGACAAAAGACCTTGCATTTATTCATTTTCTTTTGGGGGCAAAAGAGTAGCATCTTTCCATTTAGTGACACCACGATAAAAAATTTGGGCCCCATCGACGAGCAGTTAACATCGCAGCCCACAAAATAAAACCTGCGGAGGAGGGCAATTTCTCATAAAATTGCTGCAATTATACTGGAGGACCACCAATTAAAAACATATCAAAAATTGAAATCAGCGGGCTGGTGCAGGCGAACCACACATCTCCAGATCCCGGGGCCTTTCCAATCCTCAAATTCCACAACCCCCTTAGAGTTTAGCCTTTAGCGCTCCAACGAGCCAACTAACCAATCATGGTAAATGGCAATAGTGTCTTGCAAGCTGCCTTCAAGAATCCATTCCGTCACCTTGACCTAACCTCGGGCCTGTTTGGAACCTAAGTTTTTTGAGAGTTTGTCTAAAACTTTACTGTAGTGCACTGTAGAAGTTTTTGAAAAAATTTTATAAAAGTTTTTGTAAGGTAAAAAATTTTTTTGTAGAAGTTTTTTGTAAGATAAAAAATTTTGTAAGGTGAATTTTTTTTTTCTTTTCTTTCTTTCTCTTTCTTTTTCTTTTCTTTCTTCTCTTTCTTCTTCTTCTTCTTTTTTTCCTTTTTCTTTTCTTTCTTCTCTTTCTTCTTCTTCTTCTTCTTCCTCCTTTCCCCTCCCGCCACCCTCTCTCCTCCCTTTCCCCTTCTCCTCTCCTCTGCATTTCCCCCGCCACCCCCTTCCCCCGTCAGCCCCCTCTCCCCGCTGCCACGCCACCCCCTCCCCCGACCACCTTCTCTGCCCCTGCCCCTTCCCCTTCCCCCGCCAGCCCTTCCCTCGCTGTCCCACCACCCCTCTGCCCTGCCCTTCCCTTTCCCCTGTGCCCCTTCCCCCGCTACTCCCCCCCATTTTCTCTGCCCCTTCCCCCTCCCGCACGCCACCCCCCCTTCCCGCCACCCTTCCCCTCTGCCCCTTCTCGGTACCCCGCACCCCCTCTCCCACTACCCCCCTCTCTGGCCCACCACCCCTTCCCCCGCCACCCCCGCTGCCTCTTCCTCCTTCCCTCACCAGCTCAGAGGAAGACGTCCCATACGGATTGCGAGCGGATAGGCTCAGTGAATTAGCCCCGCCAGCCACCAGTGGAAGCAAGCTGCCCATTCCCCCTTTGCCCCGCCACCCCTTCCCCTCTGCGCCCAGTTTCTGAACTCGCAATTGACCAATGAAGCTTTTCGAATGGGTTTCACCAACAAAATGGAGAATCACTCACTTAGCTTCTCGTTGCTCTGATCAACTGTAGACTCCGGCATAGAAGTAGGTCGACTCCGGAGAACTAACAGAAAGAGCAAAAACTTTTGTGCAGCGAAAGAAACAAAGGAAGGAGTCTTCTGTGTTGCTATGAATTGAAAAGGAAAAAACCAGCCAAAATGACGTCGTTTTGTTAAAATGTTTCAAAAAGGGGCGAAAGTTTTGGGAGAAGTTTTTGGGGTTCCTGTAGCAAAAGTTGTTAAAAAACTAGTATTATACAAACTTGCCTAAAAACCAAGGGCCTGTTTGGAACCGAGTTTTTTGGCCAAGTTTTTTAGCTACTAGTTTTTTAACAACTTTAGCTACAGGAACCCAAAAAAATTTATCAAATTTTTTAACCTACACACTTCAAAATATCTAATACATAAAAAACTTCTACTTTTCTTCTTCTTTCTCCCCCACCCCTATCCACCACACCTTCCCGGCCACCCCTCCGTCGCCGGCCACCACCACCTCCGTCGCTGTTTCCGGCGCCGGCCACCTATTCCGGCGCCGGCCTACCCCTTTTTTTTTCCTTCTCCCTCTCACTCTCCCTCTCCCCCCCTCTCCTTCTCTCCCTGGCCACCCTCCCATTAATTCAAGGTCTCTGGTCGCACGCTACCGACGGTACCAGATCGCTGATGCGATCTGGTCGGACGACCGAATTGGGCAAAAGGGGAGGTGGGGAGAATGGGAGAGGGAGATGGAGGAGAGGGGGAGAGAAAAAACAAAAAAAAAATTGTATTCTGCCATGGCTGCTGCTTCTCTGCTTCGGGAGGGAGAGAGGGGTGGTGAAGGGGAGTAGAGGGGGAGAGGGGAGCAGAGAGGGAGAAGAGGGGAAGAGAAAAAGAAAAAAAAAATTTGGGGAGAGGGGCTGCTGGTTTGTCTGGTACCGTGAGGGAAGAGGGAGGGGGAAGGAAGGAAGAAGAAGAAGAAGAAGAGGAAGAGAGGAAAGAAAAGAAAAAGGAAAGAAAGAAAGAAAAAGAAAAAGAGAGAGAAAAAGAAAGAAAAGAAAAAAAATGGTAGGGCCTTCAGGCCATGACTGCTGGGAACTGGGAAGGCAGAGGTACGGGGGAGGGAAGCGGGAGGGAAAAGGAAGAAGAAGAAGAAGAGAGAAAAGAAAAGAAAAAGGAAAGAAAGAAAAAGAAAAAGAAAGAGAAAGAGAAAAAGAAAAAAAAAGAAAAGGAAAAAAAGTTTTTCACCTTAAAAAAACTTTTACAAAAAAGTTTTTCACCTTACAAAAACTTCTACAAAATTTTTTCAAAAACTTCTACAGTGCACTACAGTAAAGTTTTAGACAAACTCCCAAAAAACTCAGGTTCCAAACAGGCCCCAAGGTTCCAAACAAGGCCCTCAAATATGCTATGCTAGTCAGTAATACTCCTGGTCAAGGATGCTGTCACCTTCAATTTATTATTGCCGTCTTTCCTAGTCATGTCTGGTCCACCAACCAACCCCTTACATAACAATCCCACCATAAATTGGATCGTCCATCAATTTATTACTATTCAAGAAAATTGGGTTCTGATCCTCGGTTGGTTTTCCTCATTTGTCAGCGTATTGTTTTACTTGTACTTAGTGGTTTTGGTTACATCATCTTGCACTTCGTTAATCAACCAATTCTTCTTCAATTATTATCCCGGAGCCTTCATTACATCCAAACATGAAACAACCAACAGTAATGATGGTTCGCATAGAGTGATCATTGTGTTTGATTATGCCGTATGTAAAGTCACGCCAAGTTTTTTAATTGTTTGATGGGCTTCTTAATTATGTGCAAGCATTGCTCGTTTGTATGCGTATGATTTTTAAGGGTCGGTTTCGAAATTCGATAACTTGTTAAAAAGTACTTCATCGATGGAGCATTTGATAAATAAGTATTTTTAAGTATATTGTTTGGATACATAATTCAATAAGTACTTATTGTATTGAATAATATGTAATTTAAAATTTTTTAAATTTGTCTATCTCTTTGTTTGGTTCATAATATACGATAAAATGATTAAATTCAATGTTTTATTTTTATTTTTTAAACAACAGAAGTTATTTTAAAAGCATTAAATTAAACCTTTTGCTATTTTTAATTTTATCAAATAATATTTATCAAACGTCTCAAAAATACTTTTAGCGCGTAAAAGTGCTTTTTAAATAAAAGTACCTTAATTCCAAACGAGGCCTTTGTGTAAGTCGAGAAAGATGCAAAATTTGTGGATATCCTCTTCTGTTATTTTCCACAGTAAATAAAACTCTTCTGTAAAATAATCAAGCACGACAGTAAAAATTTCTGGCGGCTGCCAAGTAAACAGTAAGGTACCCAAGTTTAGCACGACAGCCACTCCAAACTATACAAGTGGCAACTCACATCCGCTAATTTGATAGAGTTCGGGTATCAATATTCGGATCTTCCTTTCGCATCTCACTCTCGATTCTTGGCATCTAATCTCAGATGCCTTCCAGCTATCCAATCCAACGGCCCCCATTCATCTCTCTCATCCCATAAATACCACTCATATTTTCACCATGCTTTTCCGAGAAGGCGGAAAGGAAAGAAATACTCTACTAATAAAAGGAACCGTCCTCTTACCGCTACTGTGTGACTGTGTGAGAGAGAAAGTGAGCAGAAATGAGTGCTCTGGATTCTCCGCTCGAGGTTCTGGCATTCGACTACCTGCGCTTCGGCCTGTTAACGCTCGTCAACAACGTCTGGACGTGGGTTGCCGTTGTTACGGCTGCCGTCAGCGTGTGGAGATTAAAGGCTTCGTCATTACCTGGCAGCAACTTTCCACGTGAAGCATCGCGCCCGGTTGAGAGACTGGTGGCTGAGCCTGCATCGGCGACGGCTGTGGTGGCTTCTGCTATAGTCGAGGCAGCTAAACCTTCGACTGTGGCGGCTCCATCTTCGCCGTACTTGTTCAATGCAGAGGGAAGAACGAGCGGGAAGTTTACACTTTACTATGATCGGAGGGAGGAGGACGAGGAGGAGGATAGACGTGATGACGTAAACGGAGAACTTGACTGCCAGGACGGATGTGTCGGGGATGAGAAGCAATGGTTCGGGGAAGGTTGGTGGGAGGTAACGATGAGAATGAGGATGGGAGATCATATGGGGTTCTACCGTTATCAGGATTTAATGGTGCTAGACGGAAGTGTGGTGAGATTGTGGGACGGTTTGCCGGCTGAGAGATGGAGTAAGTAGTTGCGCCCCGTTAATTAGCTGCGGTGGCGGTGAAGGTGGTACCATTATGTGGTAGGTGTATTTTCAGTGGTGGATGCAGCAGCGCAGAATCAAATAGCCGGCGGACTGGCCCGGCCTTGCCTTGCCCTGACTAGAAGCAAATTATTATTATAATTAATTAATAATACGAAGAGATAGTGGTATTTACTATTTAGTTTTGGAGGTGATCAATTGATAAGGATCATCCCAAAAAAAAAAAAATTTTGTACATAGTATCAAATATTTCTGCTTGTTAATAATTTAAGATTTGCATTTCTACAATGTCCCTCTCTCATTAAACACAACAATTACAAAATAACACAACATCTGGAACTGTGCCTGGGCTTCATTTCCTGGCGTATTTTAATTTTTCCGGTTATTGGGGTGTGTGTTTGAGTTTTTTTTATTCATTACCAGTATTTTTTTAGTAGCTTCATTTGACTCAATTATCGTCGGAGTTTAGAATTAAAATTTAAGGATTTTTTATTTTAATGTGATGTGATTACAGATTATAATGATGAGAAGCCATATCCAGTCAAAGCTTCTATTTCGAAGTCTGTCTCAATTGTCAGCCACGAGCGCTAAACGGCAGGCAGTCCACAGGAATCTCAAGCTGAGTGAAAGAGAAAAGAGAGTTAATCGATGATGACACGGCTCAAATTCTTGTGGCCTCATTCTCAAATGTTGACTGAATTGGATTGCTATCCATCCATTTCAAATTTGGACAATAAATTCGAAAGGATGGTTTTAATTCCCTTTCTTTTTTATCGGAAAAAAAACTCCCTTTCTTCTTCACCAACCAATAACAGCTAAGGGACTTCACGTATTTCACCCAAAATTTATGACCACCGGTAAATCAACGGATGAAACCTAAGTAGCTGGCTACCAAAAGAGAGACTCTACTTGGATGTATAGATCAGGAGATCGTGTATAGGCCAAGGGATCAATTGGTCGTGTAAAGATTGAGAGATTGAATCGATTCCTTGACCTACATTCTAGTGTCCGGGATATCCTGAAATATTCGATTAGTGGGTGTCTACATGCTTGTCTGAGTTGGTGGTGATTCTATCATTGTTGGATTATCTTTTGATCCCTTTGGGTCTTTCTCCCGCTTCTCCTAATATAAAGCAGCAGTATGTATGGTATAGAATTTATCGCGCTCTCAAAAAAAAAAAAAAAAGGGTTAAAGCAACGGATGAATCACCTCACAACAGTAGAGAAGTTGATTTCATTTTCTTTGGTTAATGCATACATTTGCTGACACTAATTCTCATGAAATTGATTTGACTTATTAGCTAGTCTTAATCAGCGTATTTGACTGATGAAAGGCGCACTAGTAAATATAATACTCCCTCCGTCCCATTTTGTTAGTCTTGGTTTTTTTTTTTTTACACAGATTAAGAAAGTGTAATTAATTTGGTTGGAAACATAAATTTAGATTAATAATTTCTTAAAATACCCTTATGCTAATCACGAAGAGTGCCAATTAATATCAGTTACAGCTAATGGGTTAGTATTGGAAAAGCTCAATGTATTCAATGTAGTGGGTTAGTATTTAATAACAATGTATTAATAACAAGATATTTAATAAGGGCATTTTAGACAATTTAAAAGATTACTATATTTCTTAATGGGAAAGTGGACTACAATTTGGAACAGACGAAAAAGGAAAATAAGACTATCAAAGTGGGACGGAGGGAGTACTGATAATGCAGAGTAATGGGTTCTGTCAGGTTAATCTTTAAGTAGAATCCACACTCAATTAAAATTCAACTAATCTTTGATTAGCATCTCGTAATTGCTGGTAGTGTAGTTTTTTATCTCTGTCACTGTGCACCTACCCAAGCAATACTAATTACTATTAAGGAAAGGTGGCTGGGGACAAGAAGAAGAAGAAGAAGAAAGAAGGTCAAATCAATTGCATGCTGCAAGGGAGGGATATAAAACCTTAATTAATGCATGCTCTTTAGCTTGAAAACCTTAATTAATTAATGCATGTTGCTGACGGACTAGTTTCGCCAAAGCCAAAATGTGAATTCTCTACTCCATTCTTCCCTTTATTAAGCGAAGCATCAAAATTTCCTTGAGGTTTAAGTCTATTATCTTTTTTTTTTTTCAAAGATAGACACTTAATTAGATTGACGTTTAAGTCTAATATCACAAGCCTATTTTTAAACTTTCTTTTTCCTGTATCTGACAATACACTGAACAGCACATGACTGTTACTTTTTCTAATTACACTGTACACGACTGCTTAAAGGTCAAATGCTTGTGCCTTTTGTTTTTTTCCCCTCAAAGTAGTCACCGAGAGGCAAATTCTCATTTGGCCTCTTTATCATTTTTTCCAATTCCTAAAGTAGATTGATGAGATGTTTATCTTTGTTGGCCAACAGTACAAGGATCCATCAAAATCAACGCCCGTAAGTGGGAGAATTCATCTCCCCATTTTATTTAAAGGAATATTCAATTTCCAGATTCCAAAATGCTTTGGTCTGCTTTTGTTCTTTTTTCTTTCTTTCTTTTTTTTTTTTAATTTCCTTGCGACCCTATGGTGTCGTCGTCTTTCTTGCTTGCTTGATTCCTAATTATTAAGAGTTTTCCATTGTTTTATTTTATCTAGCTTAGACAATCGAAACTGCTTAAATTTGACGGCAATTTGCATTTTTTGCTTCTTTTTTGTAATAAACATTAAAGTAGTATCAGCCATTTCCTTCTTTTTTTTTTCATTTTGTCTTTATTTTTAAATTTTAGTATCTGTATTTTTCCTCATATCGTCATATTCATATCAATTCTCCTTTTAATATGTAACTGAATGCCATAAAAGCTTTTTTTTTTTTTTTTGGGTGTTAAAATCAAAGTATGCCCAAATTTGTTTCTTTTCAACTTTAAATGGATACTCAGTTAACTCGTTGTCCTATCATAATCTCTTTTTCCTTTCTTTTTCCGCAGAAAGAATATTTGTCCTTTAAAAAGAGCTCTATGCAAACACACACTGTCAGTATATAACAACCTGATAGATGTTAAAAGAAATCAATAAATATAACTTTGTAATCTTCGGGTTTCATTTGACGGTACAAAATCATAGCTAATTAGAAGTGTGTTTGGATAGTAAATTATTTGAGATAATTAAATAAATTTGAACGCTAATGTACTGGATTTGATTAGATTCGTTTACACCCTTATCCGTATCACTTAGCATAATTTCAAACTTTCTTATTCCAAAAACACACACACACACACACAAAATTCTTTACCACTCCCCGGAATTTTATAATCGTTTTCTCTTCAACCTTTGTCATTCTTTTTTTTTTTTTTTGGGGCCCCAACTCGACAATTTTTGTTTGGATATAACGACGTTGGGGGGATATTTCAGCCGCCGCAGATATAGTTGTCATTTTGACAATTCCTCTCGCCGTTAATGGCAATTTACTTCTATTTTTATATTTAATATCGTGTAAAATTATGAGACCTACCGTAGCAGTCGTTTAATTTCTATCAGAAGAGTTTTCCGGCCAACTTCATATTTCTGAAAGTAGTAATTTGAAGTAATTTACGCAGTACGCTATGAAATTAAAATAAAGACACAGAAACTGACACGGAATTTTCCTAAAATATCAGGACCTTGTGATTGTTATATAAAAAAAAAAAAAAGAAAAAAAGAAACTATAAAAATCTGTTTCTGTTTGACTCGTCCAAGAAAATCAGCACCAGGAGTATTATTAATATCTATATGGAAAATCCAACCGGAATTGACTGCTCAAATAGTCTTTCCAGCGAGACGCCAGCTCTGTGAAATTGCATGAATGGAATAAATTGCTCGCACAGGACATTAGCAGTAATTGTCGTCGCGTCTGCCCATTTTTAGGAGCAGTAGTGCTACTACTATCATTTATTTTGATCAACAACTTGCGCTGCAAATTTATGCTGTCACTGTCAGGCGGCGGGCCTGATCCATATTCATGTCCAAACATCAAAATAATAAGGTGGGAAGCCCAACAACTTGCGCGTCTTTCTGCTTGCCACATTCAGTAATTCCGTTGTATTTTCTTCACTTAGGGGGTGCTTGGTTGGAGGGTATAGGAATCAAGAATTGGATTGAGTCCCAAAATTGTTGCTTGGCTAATGGGTATAGGTTTTGAAATCTTGGAATGATTCATGAAAAATCAGCAACTCTCCATACTCAAGTAGATTGGAGGATTTTGATGAATCCCACATTTGATTCCAAAATCTTAAAAAAAATTATTTTTGGGATTTTTTTAAAATATATACTGGCTCTATTTCTATATATTAATATTTATTTATATATATAATATTTTTTATTTCAATTTTGTTTTATAATATGTATATTAATATATATTTAATATATATATATTAATATACATATTATAAAAAAATTTAAATATATATTTATAAATATTTATACTTATATATAAATATATATATTTTTATTTCAATTGATATAATATATCTAATATACATATTAATATTAATATAATTTATATATATAATAAAATATAAATATTAATTGAAATATACATATTATAAAACAAAATTGAAATAAATATATATAAATAAATTTATAAAGATATATAAATATATTTTAAAAAAAATATTTATATATAAATATATATTATTTATTTCATTTGATATAATATATATAATATACATAATTGAAATATACATATTAATATTACTATAATTTATATATATAATATACATAATTGAAATATACAAATTGAAATATACATATTAATATATATTAATATACATATTATAAAACAAAATTGAAATAAATATATTTATATATTTATATAAATATAAATATAAATAAATTTATAAATATATATAAATATATTTTAAACAAAAATATTTATATATAAATATATATTATTTATTTCAATTGATATAATATATATAATATACATAATTGAAATATACATATTAATATTACTATAATTTATATATATAATATACATAATTGAAATATACATATTATAAAACAAAATTGAAATAAATATATTTATAAATTTATATAAATAAAAGTAATAATTTATATATATAATATACATAATTGAAATATACATATTAATATACATATTATAAAACAAAATTGAAATAAATATATTTATAAATTTATATAAATATAAGTAATAATTTATATATATATAATATACATAATTGAAATATACATATTAATATACATATTATAAAACAAAATTGAAATAAATATATTTATAAATTTATATAAATATATATAAATAAATATATTTATATATTTATATAAATATAAATATAAATATATTTAAACAGAAAATTATTTGGTTTGTTTGGATTGTAAGTTATTTGGAATATTTTTACTGTAGCACTTTTTGTGATGTGATGTATGTGAGATAAAAAGGTAATCGAAAAGATAAAAAGGTATATTGAAAATTGTAATGATGATGTAAGCAAATAAAATTGGAGAAATAATGCTCAATCCAAACAAACCTATTATATTTATATATGAATATATATATGGTGGATGGGTATGTGGGATAAGCATTTGAACGAGAAAGAAGAAAGATATGAAATGAAAAAAGAAATTAAAGGTAAAAAATTGATTATTAAATTTGATACCCATTCCTTACCAATATTTACCAAGCACCCCCATTTGTAATCATACCTTTGTCCAAAATCCATACTAATTTTTTGTAAATGATTCCAATTACAATTCCGATTCCTAAACATAAACCAAGCGGCCCCTTAATTCTTTCTTCTTCTTCTTTCCCTAAGTGAATGCTGGTTTTGTATCCAGTCAATCATTACCCCGCCCATTTGCAAGGACACGCTCCCGCCTTGATGGCAAAAGAAAATTGTTGTTATATTCTTTTCTTGTTTTTCTTCTACTACGATGGTGGAAATTTGAAAGGACGCCTTTTAACACAAAAAAAAAAAAGAAAAAGAAAAGTCAATCATTACCATGGCTGCTGAACATCGAGGAAGGTGGAAAAGTTGGCCAGTGAGTAGGACTGCAAATGAATCGAGT